GTTCTGTGAAATCTTTGCATTATAAACTTTTCAAAAAAAAAGCATAGAGGTTGCAATCAAAATCAAGGTACTAAGAAATATATTGAGTGGTTGCACCATCATGCACCACGTAAATTTATGGTTGTTGAGTGACCAGTGACAAATTAACACTTCTTTCACACCTTCTAACTGTAGACTAAAGATATTGCAATTTTAATTGGTCAAACAGAGCAACCCATTGCGATTTCACAATGTGTTTTCATATGAATCAAAATTTTAACGTATATACCAAAAAAATTGCATCTATAAGCTAGATAAAGATACCTGCTGCAAATACTGTTCAGCCGACTGTGGAGCACAGTCCATATCAACAGCATCTACATCAAATTCACCTATATCTATGAACTGTCCGCGATCCATCTTATCTACTGAAGATCAACTCTAAGCAGTTATTATCGAGGTTTGACACAATTCTTAGAAAAGCAAGTTTATGGAACTACCAATTCTATAACCAAGAAATGTCCGATAATGCAACAAACGAAAACTTTATTGATATTATCACCAGTGATGTGTTAGCACAACTTTCACCGACACCAGTATCCCGGAACAACAAATAAATTATGAAGCGAAATGAGTACAATTTCACTGCTAATAGTACAAACAAACTGTAAAGAAATCAATTCAAATAGTATGCGTTAATTTTCTCATGGTACGTCTTATTTGCCAATAGAACTTCTTTCTAAAGTATGAGATACATAGCACAATAGCAACAAAAACAAGCAATGCGAGAACCTCATTGGGTAGATCCAATAGGATCCAAAACATTTGGCGTCACAACTCCTCATGTGAGTAGTTTGTGGCGGCTGCGTTTCTTCCAGCAACTCTGCCGAATACAACACATTCGAGGAGAGAGTTGCCAGCAAGTCGATTTGCACCATGGACGCCACCTATGAGAACAAATTGAAAATTTGCAAAAACACTGAAAATTCTCTTGAAAATTTAAGATTGTTTTTAAATGAATTCATCGATGAAAAGTTTACGGCTGAAAAAATTTATAAAACTTATAATTACATCTAAGATCCGAGAGCTATTTTTGCTAAGATACCCGAAACATAGCATACTCATGTAAAAAAAAGTAATAAAACAAATTCCATCTT